CCTCCACACTCAAGCATTGATAGCAGCGGTTCTCAAGAATCAAAGGAGGGAGAAGGAGGCGAGACAACATATCACGACATGTCTACATGCAATCATGGAGAATATAGAAATCCCACTAGTAGAAATCCCACTAGCAGATACAACTGGCTGTTACAAGGGAGGCAGATCGCTGTCGTGGAACGCGGGTTTGTAGTGGGAAAGACACGAATCGATGTTGTGTAACGTGATTAACCATTGATCGCGTTCTAGGACCGCGATCCAGCCGATCTCTCAGCTACCCCTTCTGCATATAAATTGACCCTCCATGCCCCTCATTTTATTCACACCACCACTACATTCTTCCTCCCACTCCTCCACCACTCATTAAATACATGTATGCTATAGGGATGCGGCCAAAAGCGATCTTCCACGTCAAAAAGGTGTGCTCTAGTGTTATATTGAGTATGAAGTTGAAGTTATATTCTAATGTTTGTCAAGTATGAAGTTGAAGTTATGTTCTAGAGTTATTTGGAGTTATGTTATGCCCCAACTTTTAGGATTTTATTTAAAAATAACTTATGCATTTAAATAAGAAGTTGAAACTTTAATTGATACTAATTGTCACTTATTGGCTCTATAGGCGGTCCTGGACAATGCCTAATATCATGCCCAGGTTGCCTGCATAATTTGCAATGCTTTAGAGCTCTTCTTGCTCCCCCTGAACGATCCATCTCGTTGGGAATCCTGTTCGTTCTAGGATGAACCTTAGTGTGCTTTAAGTCTAATGGTGGGATAATCTTCTTCCCCTCAAGTAGTTACCAATAAGCTTCATCTTGCAAAGGCACAAAAATGCATCCATACTAATTTATTAACCAGGGTTTCCATTCATTCATTAAATAATTTTCAAAATTCTTACTTTTAAATTTTGAATGAAATAGCCCTTAATGTTCAGCCTGTTTGATTTTTCAGCCCTTTCGGCTTTGGAAAGGTATGATGCAGGTGATCGATTCCATATATTTCTTTATTTCCCATGAATCGTACATTTGTAACAATAAGAACAAAATACAATTTCTAATTTTAAGATGCAATGCAAATGAAAGAATATAAAAAAAATATCTAGAACTAGATGGATCTCTTAAAAAAAGCTTCCTATATCCACTTATCTTTCGGGAGTATATTTGAAGTAATGGCTCACAAAGTTGTAAGGACTAAGAGATTGTGATTTAGCTGCCACCATTGCATTGGAACAAAGCACTCTTTTGTTTTGAAACTTCTTACATGTACACTGTCTGGTCCGGCTATCATCCAGAGAGTTACCGTTTGGCGATCGCTTCCACGTCTGCCTCCACTCTATAGACCTTTGTCTATTGAAAATATAACTTCAGCCCAGTTCAAGAGGGTCACTATGTGCTTACCAGCGCCCTCTTCATACTTTTCCATAATTTTTTATGTGAGGGGTTTGGCTTCTCTGGCCTGCTTTCTCAAAATGGCCCTTTGATGTCTTTTAACAAACCACTTGTTGGCCCTCCAATAGGTCATCTCCACTATTGTTGAAACAAGCATTCTCGAAGGCATAAAGCGAACCCATCAATGAATGGCTTGCATAACCAAAATAAGCGGTGAAACATCAGCTCATTTGGGACGTGAACTTGGTCTTCAATTTCTACATTGTTGTACCACGACACGAAAACAGTCACGAAGTTAGACTCTTCCATTTCAGACATCAATCTAGGAAGAAGAGGGTATGGGTCATCCCAATCGCCATACAAATAAGCCATGACCTTTTGCTTTTCATACCATGCATTCTTGTACGCGATTGTATAGAAATGATGATTTTCACCTAGACCATGATAGCTTTAATGCTGATGTCTGCTTGTGCCTCGATCAAGTGCGTGACCCTCACTTTCTTTGCATTCAGTTGGCGGTGGTCCCGGGAAAGTATGGAAGAGGTGCAGTTGTTCTACACAATGCGAATTACCCAAATACCCTTTTTCTTCATCCATGCAGCTCGAAGCTCCCACTGACATCCGTTCCAGGATTCTTGCATATTGACATGGAGTTGTTTTTTGTCATAATATTTGACCTTCCACTCAATTTTTCGCCACACGACTTCTTCTCTAAAAGCATCACCAACAGCATCCTTGGTGGGAAATGTCATAACCACCTCCAATTCGGCCATCAGATTCCAAACTGCAATAGGGAGAAAGTTGAGATCTTCGTTATGAGTATATAAGGGATGAGTAATGATATTTATGTAGTATGGAGTAGGTGACTCCCAGACCTCCACCTCATTGTCTCGTGTGCACTTCCTCACTTACAAATCCCAAAATCTTCTTCACTATCCTCGTCACTTTCAATAGATAACTCGGGATCTCGTCAGTGGGATCATCATGACCATCACCGCCAACATCATTATCTTAATTATGTGGATCACCTAGATGCCTGAATCGTATTTTTAATGTCAGTCCATTCTGGACCCCAAGTCGGCCATTGAACGCCATCTAACTCAACAAATTGGTAGAGCTCTACAGGATTAACACGATCGATAATAGCATCTTACCATGGTACCCCATCTCCCACATTGCTGCCTGCGTAACTACATACTTCATAGTTTCTTGAATAACCACTCCATTTTTACCTTCCTACAACACCATCATCATAATAATGGTGGTGATAAGAGGATTCACCGCCATAATATCCGTAACTGGCTCCACCATGACTAGAACTCTTGGTCTCAACATACACCTCTACAAGCCCAATCTTGTTTCCAGCTAGGAACTCCAACATCATGTTAACCCTGTCACTGTGACATAGGACAACTCCTTCGTATGTGACACTGCCTCCACTGATATTTGGATATCGATAAGTAATTTTACAAACTCTTGTTTGCCTCACGATAAAAATACTGTCTACACAATGTCATAGAGTTCTTGCGACGTGAATTTGGTTTCAATTTTCAACCTACTGAATTCACCATCTTCATAACCGATCCCTTTGTGGAAGTTTTTCATCTGATCATTCCACCAAATAAGAAGCTGGAATTTTGAAATCTACCCATGTTTGCAATTTAAAATAGCTAACGTTCATATACAACATCGAAGACCACAATCCATTATACATTTAGCTTTAATTTGAATATTTAGCATAATTTGAACGATGCATAATTAGTGAAGTACAAACATATAACTACTTAAACATGACCGTACTTAACAAATTCAGACATACCTTATAGTCAAAATGAGGAAATGAATTTTTGGTGACAACTCAAAGTCCTCGGTGGTTGTGGGATTTTCTGCAATTGTGGTGGATAAGAGGGAAGTTTCTGTTGCGAAGGTGGAGAAGATGGGAAATAAGAGAGAAATTAGATATGGGAGGGGGGGGGGTCGTGTTTTTATTTTGGAATCAGATTGGACCTTGATTGCTTTTGACTAAAGCGATCATGTCAAGGCCACTGCACCTAACCTCGTGCCGAATATTGATCACGCTTGACTAAAGTGATTTAGTATGATCTCTTATTGCAAAAGCGATCAAGGGAAAACAGGTGCACCAACCCTAACCTTATGGTGAAATAAAATAGTTGTTGACAAGAACGATTTACTAGTGATCGCTTGCTTCTTAAGCGATTTGTATGATCGCTTTTCTCACACGCTATTATGTGTATAATCGTTGTCTTTGTAAGCGACTAAAACTTTGATCGCTTTACTCAGAAGCCCTATCAACGCTCTGTTTTAACACGATTCCCTTTAATCGTGTTTCTCTCTAGTGTTTATAGTGTAGATCGCTTGTGAAAACATGTGTACTTTATGAATTTTTATAAAAATAATTAATTTTTATTTTTAATGGCCAATGACTAACAATCAAATTTTGGTTTAAAATAACTAACCAATAAGAAAGAAATTTGGGTAATGTCTATTTTTTATCTAAATCTTTTTCAGATTCTTTTATATTATCCAAACCTATTAAAATGATATTAATTAGTCAAATTTTTCGTAATGCATCAAAATATTTGCAATTTTTACGTTATTGTTAATAATTTTGTAACTTTTTTCTTAGTTAAAATACTAATTTTTTTGAATGTTGACCTTCATGTGTCTCTTTCGAGTCAGTATCATGTTCGCCAAGTCAATATTACTAACAAAATTATTAACTGAAAGTTAACATTTGATTAATTCTTAGTATTTCGATAGATTTGACTAATATAAAAAAATTAAAAAAATTTGGCTAATATATCGAATGACCAATCATCCAAAAAAAAAGTTCAGAACATGCCATCAGCACCATAACATTCTGGGAAAACCACCAACTTTGTAGCAGAACTCAATAAGGATTATTTATTTATTATTTAATTTGCAAGCTGCAGTATAAAATGACTTCTCCTTTTGTATATCACAGTTGTCCAGTGTTTTCATTTTTGTTTTTTCTTTCTTTTATTGAATGCCTTTTCATTTTCCTTTTGTTGGTTTCTCACAAAAAGTATACAAAAACTTCCCCGAAATGGGAACTAGCGGAGCTCCGAACCCGCATATCCACGCGTCAGTCATCTATAGGAAAGCGGCTCAAATGAAAAAAGGGCGTGCTCTCATTGGTCCACGTGGTCACTCAGCACCAACAAGCAGCTGGTTTTCACGCCGGAAAGTCACCGCCTCTCTCTCTTCTTATAACCCAGAAGAAGAACCCCTTTCCTCAAATAGATCCCTCCCACTCTCTCCCTTTCCTCTTCTATCGATTTCTCTTCCGATTCCAACAATCTCCCCGTCCGCCTCTCTCCGCCGTCCGGCCGCCGCCGTGTGCTGTCAAAGTAAACCTTACTACATCCTTCCCTCTCTCTCTCTCTCTCTCTCTCTCTCTCCCTCTCTTCGTACTATTTTATCTTCTTCTTTCTTTTCTGTCGCGCGCTTTACTTATTGTTCTTGATTTGGTATCTGATGTTGGAGTTCCTTCCTTCCATTCTTAGCAGGAGTCGGTTTCTCGATTCTGTGTGGTTGCTGAGAGAAACCGAGAGAGAGAGAGAAGGAAGAGCAATGGGGAGAGGCAAAATAGTGATAAGGAGGATCGACAATTCGACGAGCAGGCAAGTGACCTTCTCGAAGCGGAGGAATGGACTTCTGAAGAAAGCAAAAGAGTTGGCGATCCTCTGCGACGCCGAAGTCGGAGTCATGATCTTCTCCAGCACGGGGAAGCTCTACGATTTCGCCAGCTCCAGGTCAGTCCACTCGCCATTCTCTTCCCTCTATTTAATCAACGAAAAACTGGCACTAGTCTGTTTGGTTGTCCCGCTCCCAGATTCGATCTTCGGGTTTGACTGATTTGTTAGATTAGTCAATATTGGAATGCTGCTGAGAACTAGCTGCTTGAGCACTTTCTCCGCATCGGTGATTTCATGATCCAAATTAGGAGGAGGCCGCCGCTTGTTTTGCCCGATTATATTCCTGGGCATTGCCTATAAGGTGTTCGATAATTTGCGCCAACATGTTTCCTTCCTGAGCTTTCCCTTTCCTTTCTTTTCTCTCGGCTTAGTTTTATCTTTCATCTTAAAGATTTCAATTTCGTTGGCCAGTGGCGAAATTTCCGTCCATCTTTTGAATCGTCGCTTCCGCTAGTATATATTGCTAACCTTGAAGTCTTAACAGATCCATGAAGAGAAATAACAGTTCTGACCCACTATAACCTCTTAACTTTTGAGGTCAATATTCATCTAAAATCTTAGTATAGAACACGATATCGTACCCGAAATCGGAAGAGGTCTGCGATTAGGTTGGTTATAGGGTTTCAAATCTTTCAGTTGATGCAGCCGATGTTGTAGTTTCTCTGTCGCAGGTTTCTGGTGATTGATTTCGCTGGGTTGTCAGTTCTTAAATTACTTTTAGGCAGCTGTTGGTTTCATACCAGACCATTGAAAAGCCTGATGGAATGAGCAAAAGCTTAACCGGCCGGCCGGCCGCGAACCAAACATACTACAAAAATGCATACTTCATACAGATAAAAACATACTACGATACATCGTACATAGCCACTCGGGGAATATAATCTTGAAAACAAAGCAAATATTTTAGGAATAAATAAAATAATTCTTGTACGTATTTGTTCTCATCAATTAATTTAAGTCTGTAATCTTTGACTGGATAGGCTAGCTCCAGCTTAAAACTAATACAATACGATATCATTGTGTATGCTATACCTTGATCTGTCGGGCGAGGGAACATTATGTTTGAGGGAAACAAAGAAATTTTTTTTTTTTTTTGGCGTGGTTCTTAACGAAGTCTTGAAAGTGATTTTCTAAACTCTGGTCTGGAATGGGGAAAGAGGGTTTTGACTGGGAAATGGTTTTTGCTTCGTTGAGTTAAAAGATTGTGTGGACTTTACGAAGATAGCTAGGAGGTGTGTAGCCATTTTTGTCTGCAGAATGGATATTCTTCCTCAAAATGATCGCCAAAAATGGAAGTTTAAGTTTTCAGGTCACTGGTGATTATGATGAAGGAGGAGAACTCAAACTGCTAACTAATTAATTAATTTATTAATTAATAATATTATAACTTGAGAAATTCTTCGTTCCAATAAAGACACAGATCAAATCTAAATACAGTACGATAATCTGCTATTAAACTGTTATGAATTTCCCTTTTATTTTTCTAGTCTAAGTGAAAGAGATGCATCAAACACGCTCTCTTATGAGTTCATTGTTTCTTTCTTTTATTGAGGAACGATCTCTTATGAGTTGGATGGAGGGAGGAAGGGAATATTATTGTGTAATGTACTGTCCTTTGTTTTTAACTCATAACAAACTAAGGTTTAAACCCCCTTCCCTCTCTATTTCTTTGTTAAATGCCAGTTAACTTCTTGTCTTCTTCCTCAACTTCTTCAAACTATACAATTAACTCCAGCCAATCCAGATTAATGTGTGCATTTAGTGTTTTATGTAGACAGTTTCTAATCATTTCAGTAATTAATATTTTAGTAATTTTTTTATTCGTTGCATAAATTGGCCTAATTTTCATGATCCATATGAGTTACGGGTTAGACCAAAATGAACACAACTTTTTTTTTTATAATTTTGGGATTTGTGTTGGGATATAATTGTGTCCAATTTGAGTATACTCATTTCGTTGGATCTAAATGGGGTTTAGATGATTGTACACACACAAAATAAGATCGATCATCTCACTAATTGCTTTCAAACCCAATTAACTTTTGATGTGAGTGTTTCCACCTTTCTGTTTGTTTAATAACAAGAAAAATACAAGAATTGGATTAGAATCAAGTATCCATTTTCTTTTGGGGTAAATGCCACATTTGGTCACTGAGATTACTAAATCATGTCATGTTTAGTCATTAGAAAAAATTAATATAAAATTTGGTCACTCAAAATACTGAAACATGTCACATTTAGTCACTCTCCTATTAGTTTTCGTCCATCTCCATAACGGAGTTGGATGGAGGCTAACGGAGAGTGACTAAATGTGACTTGTTTTAGTAATTTGAGTGACATTTATAAAAAAAAATGTAATTCAAGTGATCGGGGTTTGACGCAGGCTAACGGGAGAGTGACTAAATATGACCTATTTTAGTAAATCGAGTGACCAAAATTGATGTGAATTTTTTTTAGTGACTAAACATAACACGATTTAGTAATTCCAGTGACCAAATGTGGCATTTATCATTTTCTTTTGATATCCAATAATATGAATCCAATTTAGATTTAAACTAAAAAATTTAGTATGAGTCTGCCCAAAGTAAAATTAGTAAAACCTGATTTTACTCATAATGAATTAGGTTTGGGAAATACTCAAAATATATTCTCTTTTTTTCATCCTATATTATGCCTTGATTTCCTTCTCAGATATAGGGGTGGGCAAACGGTTTAGTAAACCCGAATCGAATGAAATCGAATTAATGCTATTCGATTCGGAATTCGGAAGGAAAATATGGATAGTTCGAAAATCAGGGTTCTTCTAACCGAACCGAATTTCCGACCAAAAAACCGAAATACTATAATTGCAAGCTTCAAATGGTGGATTTTTATGTTTTTAATTGTTTTTAGACTTAAATATTTGAAATGTTTTAGGACTTATGTGTTGAAAGTTTGGTTTTATCATTAATGATGCATATAATTGATATTTATTGTTTATATTAGGGGTAAAAAATAATTTAAAAGTGAGAAAATACAAGTAGCTTCACAAATTCGGTTTTGTGTGAAAAACCGAACCGAACCGAATTATAGTTCGGTTTAAACCAACCGAACCAAATTATAATTCGGTTCGAATTTGGTTGAGGTTTGAGAGAATTCGGGGACCCGGTATTCATAATTTCGATTTGGTCAAAACCGAATCAACCGAATGCCCACCCCTACTCAGATATCCTATTCCAATTCCATTTTATATATTCAATCCTGTAAGTTCCTCTAGTATTAAGTGGGGTTGATAAAACTATTTGAGTAACATGTAACTGGATTAACCAATCCTATCTGGTGAATTAGGTTCCGTTCATTGGTTTGATCCGGCAACATTCTCAATTAATTTGATTTAGTTGGTTTGGATTGTTATAAATTTGATTAAGCTATTCAACTAGTTGACCAATTATATATAGATAAATATACCATAAAGTATACATGTTCTTGGTTATATGCTTATGAATTTATCTTCTACTAAACCTCAGAAGTTCGAAAGAAATTTTCATTTGAATCCCAACAAAACAAAACAAAATGTTAAATGGCAGACAAAGCCAATTTGGATTGATACAAAACAAGGACTAGATATATTGACCCTAAAGAAACTCCTATAACTACCATAACAAGGAATCGAACTCCTAAACAAAATCGATATATATGTAAATACGAATAATGTCCCAAAATAATATGCAAAATCTTCCTAAATTATTATCCTTAACAAGTGGTTTCCCCGGAACTACAGCAGAAAACTTGGTTAGATGATGATGTTACGTAAAAAGTAGAAAAGTATGGCATGTCTATTGCTAGTTGCTACAACATTCTTTCTCATCTGTTAGGGTTTGGGCTAGTTTTTGTGTATAGCTTAATAAGAATGACAGACACATTTACTTATATAATATAAATGTCTGATCATTTCAGTTTTCCAGCAAAAACTTGTTCAACATGGTATAGATGTTGGATATAGAACGAGATTATTAATGTTGGATATAGAACGAGAGGGACGACCGGAGGAGGGTGTTGGGAGTTGGTTAGATTTAGGCGCAAAAGACAAAGTTAGCAGCATACATGGAATGCAGATGGGTGAAGTGGAGAGGTGTTTGATTATATATATATGAGCAAATCCGATTCATATTTAGTGGAAAAATGAACACACCGTTACTAGGTCTGTGTCTGTTGTCGTATTGCTGGATGTTAACATGGGAGAAACAAATACAATGATTTAGGTGATATTCTCGTTTAAATATGAACAGACTAATGCACAAAGAGTTGAACACTCCCATAGTCAATGTTATTATGTTCTCGTCGTCTCCCTCTGGGCACAACCAAGTTCATATATATGTGGTGGTTTCTATGGTGCACCCGCAAAAATAAATGCATAATATTTACTCAACTCTAAAATTAGTCTTAAAGATATCGTATTTTGATTTTAATTAAAGCATTGATTAATGTGATGACATAACATAATATCAGAATTAATCAAGTATTGCGCTATGCCATAGACCTTCAATTCCAAGCCCTAATTCCAAACCCCGAATTGTTGATCGTGAATCCTAGCCTTAAATCTTTAAACCCTAAATTCTTGAAATTAAAGTAAAATCTTAAATGACTTTTTTACAAATTCATATATTTTCTTATGTATCATATCACAAGTAACCGATTGATGTCATTTTAACATAAATCGTTTAATCAAAATCACAATTATGAGATGGGTGTACAAAACTATACATACGCTTATACCCCGATTACACGGCTAACCAAACACCCTCATAACTACACAATAAAACCGAGAATTACACCATAATCCTCGCCTATTTACTAACATTGGTTTTATCTTAAGTTTGTTTAACTTGATATTCAAAAGATAATTGATCAAAATGGTCACACAGTTTTGGGCTAGTATTAAAATGGTCACAAACATGTAAAACATAACAAAAAGGTCAAACAAGTATGAAAATATAACAAATAGTACGTGGACATTTTGATTAATTACCCGTCCTTTTATTCTCACAAATAGTATATAGGGTTATATGAATTTCCCTACTTTCAAACCCTAAAAAAAATCTTTAGCTAGGTGGTATGGTAAGGGCCATCACATCAGGAATAAGCTATAAAGGCGAAAGTTATGGATCACCACCAGAAGATACCTTAAAATTTGCGAGTTTTGAGTTGTCAGGTTTCTAATGAAAACACTTTCACACATGGGCAAACAACTAGACAATTGGGTCGGCAGGAGATATCTCAGGTGTTTACTGATCAGTTAGAGCCAGCCGGGTGGTGTGGTGCAGAGATTATGAAAATGATTAACCATATACCCACTTGGGGAAGTGGCAGATGCTCCTTACTAAACAAACGTCGGGTAACTCAAAAACACGTGAAATGTTATGGAACTCTGAAACTTTAATTTTGGGATCAATATTTGACTATTCTTTTTTATTTTTTATTTTTTTGCTTTTCCTAGCTATAGTCATGTCTCGTGTTGAAAGATGCTAACAGAAAGCTTTACATATATCTAGTAACAAAATGACTTACAGCCTAAGAAATTTAAAAGAGAAGAATCATATAGGCTGAATGAATAAAGAAGAAAATGTGAAAGCTTGGCTTTCTCACTGCCCAATTACTCTCCCAATTATATATTTTGCATCGTTCTAGGAATAACAAAGTTTTCAATTTCCTGAATTCGGACGAACAATACAGCGGTTCCCGTATATGATTCTAGACTTGTCTGCTACATTTAATTGTACATGTTAGCAATTAATGACCAATGTTAAAGAAGGTGCTAGGCGCTCTACCATGTTAGCAATTAATGACCAATGTTAAAGAAGGTGCAGGCGCTAGGTAGAGGTTGGGGTCGTGCTTTAAACGCATAGAATTAGCTAAGCATTTTATTCGAACAAATATAGAACCAGAATGGATGGTTTTATGTCTATTACCAGTTCTTCCTCCTGAGTTGAGACCCATCATTCAGATAGATGGGGGTAAGTTAATGAGTTCAGATATTAATGAACTCTATAGAAGAGTTATCTATCGGAACAATACTCTTACTGATCTATTAACAACAAGTAGATCCACGCCAGGGGAATTAGTAGCCTGAGTAGTTAAAGCAAGTGAATGATTTGAAATTCGAGCTGTTAAGTGGAATAACACTCGTATACATTGAGCTCTTAATGGTACCTTGCAAATCTCCATTCAACCCTTTAGCAAACTGTGGCAAAAGAAAGAAAAATCCATGGACCGACCCCATTGTCTCCACCCCATATGAACTATGAGATCACCCCAAGGACGCCTTCGACATCCAGGGGTCTGCCTAGAGGCATTTTAGGGAAAATAGCAATTTTCAATAAAATAAAAATTTATATAACTTTTTTTTAAGTTCAATTTCAAAAGATTAATAAATTAATTTAAATTACCCTCAACAAGAAGCAAAATATGTCATGATTTATCAGAATCCCAAATTTATAGAAGTCGTGGTAATTGATGGTCTGTAGTCAACAATGAATAAGAGCAGGGCAAACGCTCGAGTCGAATATTTTAATCTTTGTTTTGATTAACACGCTAAAGTGTGTATCACTTTGATTAATGAGTCGATTAATTGTGTCTAACTCCACCTAAGCAGTGACTAGCGTTATCAACGCCTAATTGTTTACTTAGATGAGGCCTTTTGTCACTTATGCTTCCTTCAACCCTTTTAATGACACAACTGAATGATGTCTCCATGCATTCACGTCAGTGGCATGTGGTTGCCACATCACCCATCAGCCACGTCAGCAAGAGACAATTACTTTGTCAAAATGTCATGTCGTTGCTTCTCTGAACAACAGAACCCAAGTTACCTCAGACCTTCACTCTTAGCCTCTCTTTTAGACGAAGCTTAAACTTAATGTGTTTTTCTGCCATATAGATCACATGTAATCGCAGTTCTCTCCTGCTCAAAACCCAAATCTTACACTGCCTTCCTTCAGCCTTGAGGTGCCTTACATGTTTTTAGATAATCTGACCTAGTCACTATTATCCTAAATACAAACCTTTTCATCGGCTTAAAACAAGACGCCATAATTGAAAGTTTCTTTGATATACCTCAACAACGATTTTACTGTCTTATGGTATGGTCTCAATATGGGGCTTTCATGAATCTAGGAAGCAAACATAATATATGATCTTGTATCAGAAAAAATACACAACATACTTGATATCTTTAAAGCTTTGAACCCAGCTAAACCCTACCAGCCTTATCTTTCAGTTTCTTAGCAATATTGCCATCTGAATTCTGAATCAAACATGGTTTCGGAAGAACCATTTTGCTCCAATGAACTTCTCCAAGATGTTCTACAGACTAATTCCTCAGTGTCATTCTTTTTAATCACTGGAGGGAAAAAAATGGTCTTCTTGAATCGCAGCCTTCCATTTTCCAGCTAACTAAGCGTGTTGCACACTATTAGTTAGGTCCCACAACACTCCACTTGTTTGTTCCATTAGAGTTTTTGTCAATGATTGTATAAACGTATGCGGTAGGGTATTTTGTATTGAAACTGTTGTTCAACTATTTCATACTGCTAAAAAAAACTTGTTTATCGTTTAACTTCTAGAAGATTTTTTGATCGCACCGACTATACGATACAGTTTCATAAACACTGGTTTTTGTACTTCTTACATGAGTATGCTTAAACATTTTACCATCCTGATTGTGTATTGGCAGAATGTTTATCAGTTTTCAACCATGTCTGTGAGATACTCAAGTTCTTGAAAATGTTGTAATTGTACATGCAATTCGTATGATCGTATCAGGTTCTAGTGAATTTCCAAGTGATTTCAAGTTCGATTGTTTACCAAATCATAAATGTGTAGACCAATCAAAGTACAACTTCTTTATATTGTAGATTGATGGTCGAGCGCGAGACCAATGCTTCTTCAATGCTTAGATTGAGGACCTGCAAACCCTAATCGACGATTTTGCTCGAGCAAGTGAAGAATGAGTTTGATCGAGAATTGATTTTTCTCAGTTTTGATAAAACGACGATGTAATTCGTATAGCAACAGAAACAAATGAAATATGGGCTATCGTTTTAACTTAGATAATACTGGGCTTTGGCCCAAGGTTTTTATTTCTAAGTAGATAACAGTAGGCCTGCTTTCTCAAAAGCAGCCCACCTTTTTACCTTCTTCTTCCTTCGTGTGGTGAGAACTTCCTGAAGCAAAGCTTCCTTGTACCTGAACAGCTGCTGCAACAACAGAGTAGCAAGCTAAGCACGAAACAGAAAATACACACACACTGCACAAACCTTTTTACGTGGTATCCGATATTGGGAGAAGAAGAATCCCAATATCGACTAATCCACGGTAGGAATCTCTCCTCTTGAGGATTCCTACGTAACTACTAGACCTCTGTTCTGGTTCCTGTTTTACACACTCAGAGTTTGATTAGAACAGCTCTCTGCCTATCAATCAAACGTTCCTACTGAAGCACGATCTCCCTGATCACCCTCAGTACTAACAGCTATTCTCCCTGATTAGCTTCACTGATGTTTTCCACTCAAAAAGCAATTTCACTCAATAACCTAGTACTCTGCTTTTCGATCTCTATGAAAAACCTTAACCTTCAGTTTTGGTTGTCTCGTGCCTTTTATTGCATCTCTTCAAGCTAGCCGTTGCAGGACATTGATTTTGATTTCCCACAAATCTGCTCCAGCTTTCCATTCTTGAAACCTTCCATTTCAGTCTTGGTTGATTGATTCTTTCCCATTTGACGAGCTTCACTCAACATGCTCCCCCTAAGCTTGTCAATGGCTCTTCCTGCTGTATGTGATTTTTCCTGCACACACTCATCAAACAGTCGGTGCAGCCTGTTCTATGTATGGTGCAAACATTCATGACAGGGAAGGCTTCTTTTATTGAACTTATTGAAATTCATCCATCATCACATCAATCAACAAGCAAAAGAGAGAATGCATACTTAACAAGACTACGACTGACTTAACAACTGACTTATCATCATACTAGTATCCTAATTAGACAACTGAAGCTCCCCCTAAGTAGAATCATTTGCTTCCTAGAAGCGATAGCCAGGAGGTGACTCATAGTCTGAGATCTCCTCATCAGAGCTGGAGTCAGATGAAATTGGATCAAAATCATCCGGAGCAGGCTTTGCCTCATCAAAATCCATGAGCTCCAGTCGCTCTTTGCAGACCAACAGGTTTGTAGTATTTCCAGTGCCAGCTTCTTTTCGACGTCTGACTTCCTTGTCTATGGCTGAGGCTGCAGCCTGAGTTAAGGCTGGAAGCAGCTTGTCAGAGAGAGGATCAGCACAGGAAAACGCTGAGCAGCAGGTTATTTCTCCCCCTGAGCCAGTGACGAGCTTACGACGGCCCACATCAGCATCCAGGCGGACAAGGACATGGTTGGGGCGCAAGTCGTCATGGACATTGCAAACAGCCACTTTATCCCGGAGATCTATGCCAAGGCGGTGCAGGTAACGAGTGATGAGGGGCCCAAAGGGCAGAGCACCATTGTAGCCTCCACCGCCAAACTTGAGAATGTGAGCAAACATTAAGGATGCATAGCTGATGGGTTTACGCGCACGAGCATTGCTCAGAATCCAGAGATCATCCGAGTGGAGGAGGCCAGCACTATCAACATCTCTGGGAAGGAAACAACGAGTGATGAAGAAGTGAAGAACTTTGAGATCGTCAGGGAGACGACCAGCAGAAAGCCGAGTTGGAAAGGCTTTGCCAATATCCCTGGTCAGGAGATCAAGAGCAGCAAGGAAATCGAACCCATGATCAACAAAGTCACTTTCATAACTTGCATGGATCCCTGAGTGAGGAAGGGAGAGAACCGATGCAAGCAAGTCAGGAGTGACTGAAATTTCATGGTCATAAACCATGGTTGTGAAGGAAGTGGGTTCAGGACCACGATCACGACGAATATTCACATAGAATAATCGCACGGCTTCAGGACAATGGAGGAAGCGTTGATCCTCAGTCAACGATTCCCACCCCAATCCAGCAATGAGGGAGGGAATATCCATGTCATATTTGTTGAAGGCCGAAGGAGGGATGGTGAAGGAAGGGTAGATAGGTCTATCACGAAAACATCGAAGATATCTCGAGTAAACAATGGCATTGCGAAAGCCTTGGTTTTTGAAAACCACGACAGGTCGGAGCTGGGCGTTGTTGAAAGCCATTGTGTGACAGAAAAATGTTTTGGAGAGTGTTTGCGAGAGTGAGATCGAACCCTAGTGATGCTCTAGATATATAAGAGTGGAAAAGAATGAATGAGGTAAGTGAATCACCCACGTTAATATGCCAGCAAGGAACTGCTAATTAATCGTGATGAGAGAGAATGAGAGTTTCTGTGGAAAGGATTGATAGGGGATCGAGGAGTCACAGAATCCTAAGAGATTTCACCTATTTCTTCTAGGGTAAACATTCCTAGCTCACGACGTATAGGCAGAAACTTGTCAACAGGCAATGGTTTAGTGAAGATATCTGCCCACTGAGAATCAGTCCCTACGAATTCTAAGTGAATTTTGTCCTCTTGGACTAGATCTCGAATAAAGTGATAACGGACCTCTATATGCTTAGTCCGAGAATGTTGAATTGGATTTTTGGACATGTTGATGGCGCTTGTGTTATCACACAGAATGGGAAGGGATCCTAATGAAAGACCATAATCCTCTAGTTGGTATTTCATCCAAAGAGCTTGAGTGCAACAAAGGCCAGCAGCAATATACTCAGCTTCTGCTGTGGATAATGCTACAGAACTCTGTTTCTTGCTAAACCAAGAGACTAGAGATGATCCTAAGAAATGACAGGCACCAGAAGTGCTCTTTCTGTCGATGATGCACCCTGCATAATCTGAATCACTGTAGCTAATCAAGCTTAAACTTGAGGAGCTAGAGTACCAGAGCCCTAGAGTAGAAGTGCCAACCAGGTAACGAAAAATTCGTTTAATGGCTGAGAGGTGACTATCCTTAGGATTGCTCTGAAATCGAGCACATACACAGACACTATACATAATATTCGGGCGGCTAGCAGTGAGGTATAAGAGTGAGCCAATCATTCCACGAAACCTTTTACAATCAACTGAGTTACCAGT